TATATATATATATACACTAATATATATATATTAGTATCTTATTATAGTATATATATATATATATATTAGTATCTTAAATAGAATTCTCCAAAATAGATCCATTATCTAATAAAATGATGTGCACTTTAACTCAGTTAAGAAAATTCTCCTAAAATACAGGGTTTGCATTCACGAAGGCCTTGTGTTTGGATTTAGCTCTGCAGCTTACAGAAACCTGGGACAACTTTGGTTTTTCCATCTGTGAAATAAAGACATTGGAACTTACCTCAAAGAGTTTTGTGAGGATGGAATATTATTTAGTAAGTACTAGCATAGTGCTCAGCGGAGCTCAAAATTTAGTGCAGATGGTCTCCAGATTTGACTTAGTGATTTTTTTACTTTATAGTGGTAGGTAAGTGTGTCCACACACCCATTCTGTGGCTCACTTTCAACCCAGTATTCCATAAATTACATGAGATACTCATCATTTTATTATAACATAGGCTTTGTGTTCAATGATTTTGCCCAGCTGTAGGCTGATGTAAGAGTTCTGAGTATATTTAAGATAGGCTAGGATAAGCGAGGATGTTCGGGAGGTTATGTGTATAAAATGCATTTTGGGAGTTTGGATACTGGGGATTGAACTCAGGGGCACTCGACCATGAGCCACATCCCTAGCCCTATTTGTATTTTATTATTTTATTTAGAGACCGGGTCTCACTGAGTTGCTAGCACCTCACTTTTGCTGAGGCTGGTTTTGAACTCGCAATTCTCCTGCCTCAACATCTTGAGATGCTAGGACTACAGGTGTGTGCCACCAAAATGCATTTTTGGCTCAAAGTATTTTCATCTCACACTAGTTTCTTGGGACATAGTCTCATCATAAGTGAGGAGCATCTGTAATTTTTATAAGATGCTGCTTTCCATTCATCCATCCACTGGCATCAGGCCCCCAGAGAATAACAAGAGAAAAGGAAGGTGTGGTCAAAGGGAAGGAAGAGGGCAGTCTGGGTGAGGGGCAAAGCCTCTGAGGAAACAAGGAGCAACTTTAGAGGCGAGGTTCTTTGGGGGCTAGGCTGGCGGTAGGAGATGGTGGAGCAGAGCTGCAGGATGGTCCCACTGACCTTTTGGCGGAGAGCTTGGACTCCAGCAGCACCACAGATATTCATAGGAAGGGTGAACATTTTGACCACTTTGGAGGAACCCACATTAATAGGGCATCTTGAAAAAGACCTCAACATTTTATATAGGAATAAAGTTGAACAGATACAGATGACCTAGGTGTGCAAGATGTGTGTTTTTGCTGCGGTTCAAGTGATCAGAAGTGGACTTGGGTTAATTGAGAATTCAGGAACAGTAAAAAATTTTAGCAAGTTTTGAAAGATACTAGAATCTGGGCCAGCTTTCTTTATCTAACTCTCTTATGAAAGGAAGCATATAATAATTTTGCCCGAACTGGCAATTTCAGGTGCTTTGGAGAAAGTGGACAGAAGCAGCCAATTATAGCTGTTCTGGGATTTAGTGCAGATTTCTTTTAGTGGGGAGGCTGTTGCAGGGACATTTCTTATGAAAAGAAAGGCCTGTGTCTGTTCTCTGGAGTATAGAGATCTGACACACTACTGCAATGGCACTTGGCATTAAAACAGACTCTCAGACATTTTCTGTGACCGTACAAAATGTTTAGTTAACTTAGTGCAAATAATATTTACCAAATCAAAGCCATAAAACATTTTATGATACCATGGAATTATAAGATTCTTTCATTGTTCTTGCATAGAATTTTATCTTTGTTACTACTAGCAAAGAGCACATATGTCCCAAACTTTTTTGCAAAATTTTAAGATAAATTTATTTTTATTTCTCCTGAGTACAATAAGCTAAATACAATTGAATACGTTCCTTGTAGGTTAAGTTACTATGAAGAATGAAAAATATTTTGTATTTCTTCTCTGCCTTCTTCAATCAACACTTATAATTTCCTTTCTTGTTTCTCAGCATAAAATTGCATAAAGCCAGTCATTACTGCAAAGTAGTGAGTAATGTAACTAACAAGGTTTCCTTATCCTATTTGCAGTAGTACAGACTGGGATACTCCTATTTTCTCTGGACTGCTATAAAAGTTTTATTTATTTTTTCTTTCAGTTTCTCTCCCTCCCTCACTTTTTCTTCCCCTCTCTGTGTGAGCTCAGCATCAAACCCAGTGCCTCACCCATGCTAGGCAAGTGCTTTACCACCAGGATATAACCCAGGCCTCAGTTACTTTTCTCTACCGCATTTTTGGTGCACATCAGTACATGAGTTAAATGTATGCTAGACCTTGTTATTTTGAAAACTATCTTGCTGTCCCTTCAACCATCCAGTTGTGCCTTATTTTCTAGAAATTTACTCACATGACTAAATGATGTATTCACAGAACAATTTGAAACTAGACCTTCTGCAAGCCAACTCCTATAAACTGTCATCAGTATTAGCAGAACTTGAGCAAAGACCTAAACCCAGCCATCCCTGTAGTACCTCCATTTTCAAGTGGAAAGAAAAGGTAAAGCTAAAGAGATCGATTATAATTTTTTGATTGGACTCTCTATGTGGTGGGCTTAAATTAACATCAAAGCAAAAAAGTTGTGATGAATTACATGTGCCATATGTCCCAAACTTTTTTGCAAAATTTTAAGATAAATTTATTTTTATTTCTCCTGAGTACAATAAGCTACATACAATTGAATACGTTCCTTGTAGGTTAAGTTACTATGAAGAATGAAAAATATTTTGTATTTCTTCTCCCTCCTCACACCTTTACTTTAGCCTTGAAATGTGTTTTTATAGTAAAATTTCTATTAAGTTAAAATTTTAGTATTCATATAGACCTAAATTGTGAGGTTTTTTTACATGCATTTTTCTCATTTTAACATAGCTTGTGATGGGTGCTTAGTGCATAGCTTCATATACTATATGATGCGGATAATGTATAAGTTCAGTTTAAAAAACTCACACCCATGTACTTTTCCACAGTTGCACTTCTCAGGAATTGGTAATGAACTCATCGATGTACATGGGTGGCTATTGCTTGTAGCTGTTTTCTGTTAGAAAAGGGAGGTGTGATGAAGGGATGGTATTTTTTTTTCTAAGAGATTCTAGTGCTATAAAATGTTCTCAGTCATTCAGACAGAGTTGCAATAATTTCACTTCATTAAAATCCATTGAAGTTGAATTTGTAGAAGTAATGCTACAAATGCTATTATATGGTCTAGATAAACAGGTCAAAATTGGAAATTCACACTATTAAATACAGTAATTGTCTAATTCTGAAAATACTAAGCCTTCTGAAACAAGAAAACTTAAACATAGTAGGGCTTAGGAATGTATTGAATAATTTATATATACATTCCTCACCCCAATTTAGAAAACAAATTCCTGAGTCATTTTCATGAGTACTTATGATAATAGAGTTGTTTAAAATGACATTTTTTTTTTAACTATTTGAACAGGAGCATACTCATACTTATGTGAAAATATCTCGGCCTTTTTTGGCAAAGAGATTAGAGAATGTGGTGAGCAGGACTTCTGGTGAACAGCGTAATTCAGGCCTCTCATCTTCAGGTAATCCAAAGCCCACAGTAATCTGGGACTGATTTACCTCTTGGTAAAGTACATTGCTGCATTTAAATATTATTTTCAGAACCACATTGATCTATATTTGCTCAAAGAAATTTATTTTTCAATTAATTCATTAGAATCTGCAGCTTATGAACAGATTTAACAAAAGAGGTGGGGGGAGTCAAGAAGAGTGGGGGCTGGGGCAAGCATTTATACCATGAGGAGTCACTGCAGATACCAAGTCTGCAGTCTGCTATCCACACAGTCAAATCATCCTACCCATTTTGAGGAGCTTGGTAACTCTGTCTCTGTAGCATCTTCTAAATTTCCGTAGAAATCCTGCCTTCTCTGCAAGAAACAGTGATCCAGGAGGTTTGCAGGGACACTCATACACTTGGAACACTTGATTTATCCATCCCTTTATTCAGTCATCTGACTTGGCCACTGTCCAGCCACACCCCACTGCTCAGCCACACCCCACTGCTCTTCACCTTTTGACAGGCACTCACTCACGGAGGTCTTTATTCCTCATTGTTCAACTATCTACTATAATCTCAACTGCCTGGTTTCTTGATTACAAATAGACAGAGAAAAGGTTTCCAAAAAACCCAGGGCATTATGGTCTACACAATATATTAAAGTCTCCATTACATTGTTTGAGGAACAGTTCCACTATCACCAAGGGATGATGATAAGAATCACATGCTCCAAATAGCCAGTCTTGCGTGATTGACAGAACTGATGTGCATTCCCAAACATGCATGCAACTTCCACACAGATTATCTAATGATGTTAACTAAGCTCGTATGAAAAACAAGTAATTTAAAATTGTCATCCTTACTCTTATGATGACAATAGCTTTTTTCCTCTAAACTATTTCCCATATTAGAATATGTTTTTTGTTTATATAGTATACATATTCTATATACAAAGTAGGAGGCTTCTTTATATATACACTGAATATATACTTATAATATATTCATATATACTTATTGAATCAAGGAATGACCATTAGGTAGAATTATAAACTTTTGAGAAAATTTCATTATATATAAACTCTGCATCACACTGTTAAATAACCAGAGCTTCTGATCATTCATTTTGCCTACTAACACAGCATGGTAATTACAACTTAATCCAATTTTTAGCCTCTGGCGTGGCCCGGCTCAGCAACAGTCTTTGCAAGGCCTTGTATTCTTTTCAAGCCAGGCAAGATGATGAATTGAATTTGGAAAAAGGTAAGAATCATTTTCAGATATTTTAATTGCCTTCCCATGCTGAAATCCTTGACATGCATGAAGTCCTGTCTTAGCACAGCAGTCTTAACCACCAATGTCAAGACAGTTGAGGTTTATAATCACCCTTCTGAGAAAATAAAGAAAGGCACCTGAAAAACTGAAGCTCAAATAATGATGCTGGCTAAGATTTATTTTCTTCTTACAATCCAGACCTTGTTGAAAGCATATTGTTCAATTTAACATTCATAAAAATTCTTAAAGGCAGGGATTGTATTTATTTCTGTTTTATAGCTGATAAGACTGAGGCATAAAAAGGGTAAGTACTTTGGCTGAAGTTACAGGCAGTGGCAGCACAAGATTTGAGCTGACAAATTCAGTTGTGCCCTTAATCATAGTGCTACATGGGGGCAGAACAAGGGTAATGAGAGCCATTATCCTTGCAGCGCCACCTCTTTATGTTTCCAACATGAGACCCACTGGTGACATCTGCTCATGAGCTAGTAGAATAGCATATTTTAAAGTCTAGGTTTAGAGCCCCAGTTTAATTTTATCCCATTTATTTCACAGGAAAATATTTCTGCCAATCTTATCAGACCCTCTTTTTTGTGTTATGATTTTTATTTAACAAGGAATGTTATGGATGATGTAAACCTCAACATTGTTAAACAAGAACAAGTCTCCAGCTTCAACTTTCCTTAGGTGTCCATGTATGGGTATTAAAGCTAAGGTGGAGATCTGGAAATGGAAGGATTCATGAGAAAGAGCTTTGTGATGGGAGAAGGCTTATTACTCATGGTGTGGATATGGCTTGATAGAAACTTGAGATGGATTTTGCAGCTAAACAACAGGGACACTATACATTTGCTATTATTTAATAGGTGCTTCCTTTTCAGTGTGTGTCAGAGTTCTTCAATTATTTCTCTTCTTTAAGAACAAGAACATATTTCCCTGGAATTCAGGGATCCTGAGTTTCACAGTAACAGCAGTTATTTCAGTTCTTAGTTATTTGCAAAGTCCACCTTTGCTCCATATTCTAAGTAGTTTCTTTAAATGAAACATGACAGTGGAGGCCTTAGGGAAACTGGCAATACAATTTCAAATTATTTGTTTGAATTCCTGTTAATAGATTTGTCAAACAATCTGCTGACCTGGGAGAACTCCTTAGAGGGCGAACTTAAGTTAGAAATGACCTCCTAGAAGAATAAACAGTGATTCATGACTTTAAAAAGATAAAAGGGGTTTAACAGTCTTCTTCACCTTCCAATGAAAATCGCTGGGAAAAAGAGTGAGAAAAAAATTGAAATGTGACCTCAGAAGGATGCTATAGAAGTAGATCTTGGATGCTGAAAAAAAACTCTTATTTTCATATCCCGGGAATGACCAGAGAGAAAGGACTCTCCCACAAGACAGAGGATAGCCAAAGGATATGGGGTAGCAGGTTATACTTTAAGGTTATTAATATCTCAATGATGGTTTTAAAAGAACCCCTAGAGAACTGGGTGAGAGCTAGGAATTCCATTTATTTGAATCAATGCTTTAAAAAAGCATTGTCTTCAAATTGATGTTTTATTGATATTATCTAAATTGATAAGTGGGAAGTCATTTCTTTTGAATTTTGGACTGTGAAGCTAGGTGGAGAGAGAGGAACTGTTTTGATTCTAAGCTGTCTTGATCATCATCTGAGACATGTTTGTAGAAGTTAACATACCAAGCCACCATGGCCATCAACACATGAAACACATAAAGAACAACACTGAAAAACAGTTTGCTGACAACCCTCTGTTATAGACAAAGTGAACCAGGCAGCCTGAAATCCAACTTGATACTCCTTTTTAGGGGGGTGGGTACTAGAGATTGAACCCAAGGATGCTCTACCACTGAGTTATATCTCTAGCCCTTTTATTTTGAGACAAGGTCTCAATAAGTTGCCCAGGTTGGCCTGAAACTTGAAATCCTCCTGCCTCAGCTTCCCAAATAGATGGGATGACAGGGGCATCATGCCCCAAAGCTCTAATTTTGCTTTTAAGCAAACCATTTCATGGCATAATTCAGTTATTAATTATTTCAGTCTTTTGAGTATTCTTCGGGAGTATGCCAGCTTCATACAAAGTTTTCTTCATCAGCTGTATCAAATGCAGAAAATGATGCTCCCAGTTAAACCTTTGTATGTAGGATTTCCTTAAAACTCCTACCAGTAAGGCTCTGGCATATGCTCAAGTTGCAGAGACCCATTTGCCTAACTAAAGGTGTATTTTCACAGGAGACATTGTGACTTTACATGAGAAGAAAGAAGAAGGATGGTGGTTTGGATCTTTAAATGGAAAAAAAGGCCATTTTCCTGCGGCTTATGTGGAAGAGCTACCTTCAAAGCCTGGGAACACAGCTACACAGGCATAAAACAAACACCTTAGCACATTGACTTACTTTGTAAACTGTGCAGTGTGGTGCACATAAAAATAAAGTGCTGTAATCTTTGTGAAGTTTTCTTTTTAAATGGGTGGTAGAGTCCTATCTGTAGGTCACTTCACTTTGCACTCACAGTTATTTGCTAGAAACAGAATCACATAAACGATGGATGGTGAAGGAGGCAAGAAAGAGACTCCATGGTTACTAGAGTTTTTGAAATCAAAGAGACTCTAGAGAACTCCTGGCATAACAGGGGTGGTGGGGAGGTATTAGTTCAGGGTAGAGCCATGTGCCTGAAATCAGTTACCTGGTAGAACAGCAATTAAGTTTTAGATGTCCTTTTCCTCTGGACTTGGATAGCAACAGGACACAACAAACCTACCAGGGGTAAAGAAAGGCCTGGGAAATAAGAAAAAACACAGATTAAGTCCAACAAGAATAGTGATTGATAGGCAAGTAAGATACCAGCAAGATAGATCCAGTTTGGGGGACAGTAGAATAGAGGATCAGGAACCCAGGTCAAAAGCCCATGGGATCAGAAGAGGGGTGGTCGTCCAGATCCGAGGCAGAATGGAGCTTCAACCTCAGACAATGACTTCCTGTGCAGGGGCTTCCTATTCAGTCCCTGCCCACACCAGCTGCTCATAGTTAGGGCAAATGTCAGCCAGACATGACCGGAGACCTGAGGACAAGAGCTAGGTGGATAGAAAAGGATAAGGAGGCACAAGTATCTGAAATCTCATGCCTCCTTGCCTATTTGGAAACTAATTGGAAATAAGGAATTTTGTACTTCCCAAATAGGTCATTGTGGAAGCCTTTTCCCTTGTGAAACAAACTTGAAATGCTACTGAGTCTCCAGTTTGCAAGGAAAATCTTGGAAACCAACACTTTCCATTAAAATGGAATAATATTTGTGCTACTTCCTCAAACACCCTGTAATGAAAGACTTAGGGATGAGAGAGGCTAGGCCCCCAAACTTATTCTGAAAGAAACAGTTTAGAAATGGGGATGTTAAAGCAGCATCTTTCAGAAAACAGACTAAATCTGTCTGAGATGGAATGGAAGGTGATGGTGTTGATGGAAATACCTGGACATGTTTACTTTTGTGCCACATAGAGTCTGTCCTTAGGTATATATGACAACAGAATGCATTTTGACTCATTGTACACAATTATAGCACAACTTTACATTTCTATGGCTGTACATGAGATGTAGTGTCGCATCATACATGTACCTAGGGTAAAAATGTCCATCTCATTCCACCATCTTTCCTACCCTCAGGCCCCCTCCCAACCCCTCCCTCTCCTTTGCCCCATCAAAGTTCTTCCATTTTTCCCATGCCCCCCCCCATTATGGATCAGCATCCAATTATCAGAGAGAACATTTAAACTTTCTTTTTTTGGGGATTAACTTACTTCACTTAGCATGATATTCTCCAATTCCATCCATTTACCTGAAAATGCGGTAATTTTATTCTCTTTTAATGCTGGGTAATATTCCAGCATGTGTGTGTGTGTGTGTGTGTGTGTGTGCGCGCGCGCACATCACAATTTCTTTATCCATTCATCCATTCATCTATTGGAGAGCATCTAGGTTGCTTCCACAGTTTAGCTATTGTGAATTGAGCTGCTATAAACATTGTTGTTATTGTGTCACTTTAGTATGCTGATTTTAAGTCCTTTGGGTATAGACCAAGGAGTGGGTTGGCTGGGATGAATGGTGGTTCCATTCCAAGTTTTCTAAGGAATCTCCATACAGGTTTCCAGAATCATTGCACTAGTTTGCAGTCCCCCTAGCAATAAATGAGTGTGCCTTTCCCCCTATATCCTTATACTTTTAAGAAGGAATTTCTAAAACCAAGTTTCATATATATATATATATCTGGGTCATTACACTCTTATATAGTATATAACTAACACAATAGATATTTATAGATATTAGATCTCAAGGAACTCAAGTAAAATTTGTTGAGACTTAACTTACAGTCAAGAAGAACAGATCTGAAGTTTTAATGTCATTTAATGTGTATTAATGAAGGTTTTCTGCATGAAGAAAGTTGGCTGAATAATAGTGAACATTTGACTATGAAAAGAGATTTAGAATTTATATTTCCTTTTCATCTTACTTCCATTAAGCCCTGATGGATAAAATAGTGTGTAGCAATTGACTGCAGCCTACACCAGACTATTCTGTAAAGAGAAAGTGATGTTAATAGTGGTTGGACCCTGAAGCCCTTTGGAAGCAATTTTCAAAAAAAGACATTTCTTTTTCTTCGCAAATCAGTTGTACTTCATGAAAACATAAATGTTTTTCTTGTTTTGGAATGTTGCTGCAAATTTTTTTTTGCATTTGTGACACATACTTTGTAAGCCTCAAAGAACTACTATCGGGGCTGGGGTTGTAGCTCAGTGGTAGAGTGTGCTTAAGCAGGCACAAAGCCCTAGAATTGGTCCCCAGCTCCCAAACAACAAAACAGAGGTGAGAGGAGAGACATTACAGTTTTAAACTAGATAAAATACAAATATATTTGGGTATAACACACTTGTAGAATACCTTTTTATTAAGGCAAGAATTTTCTGTTTGAACAGATGGGATGTCATTTTAGATTTAGGATAAAATTGAGTGCATATTCAGTGAGAATTAATGATGTGCCCAAGTCTTCCATATAGAATAATTTTAATATTAATGCTTTTAAACTATTAATTAGGATTTAATAATTATACTCCATTAAGCAGTTTCATATGCCAGAAAGTTTTTAGCACCATTAACAATCTGAATTATAGACCATGGAAGCCAGAACCAAATTTTCACTGAACACAGAAAAGATGTTATTCTACTTTATCTCCTTGCTAATTTAGTAAAAGCTAATACATTCATCATTCTATCAACCAGAAAGATCTACTAATTTCATTTTTTAAAAATTTTCAATTACTCAAAATAATGAATATTCATGATTAAAAGGCATTTTAATCACGTAAAGTGCCTTATGATCCATCAAAAGGCAATATAATAGTCTTGGATAAAGTAAATTTTATTGTTCAATATTATAAGCAGATTAGCAATTTAAGTATAGTTTATTTGCTCCCTCCTCCAAGATGAAAGCCCTTCCCCCAATGCCAGCGACCTTTCAGCCTGACTGGGAGCAAGGTAAGCACATTAAGATCAAGCCCACACATCCTATTGTCCTTTGCAGTATCATGTAGGAAGAAAGTATAACCCAGCCAGGAAAGATGAGCTTGGAGGTGTAGGGATGAGAAGGTGGGGTTGGATTTGCAGCAGTGTGGGAACAGGTATCTTTTGCAGAGAGAATGCACAGGTCAATAGCTGTCCATCCTCTAGTCTCACAAAAACCTGGGTTGATGACTAGTTGACATCCCTTGAGACTTCTCAATGAGTCACAGAGGTCCTAAGGGTCAGGTACTGCCAGACATGGTGGTGCATGCTTGTAATCCCAGCAACTTGGGAGGCTGAGACAGGAGGATCACGTTTGAGGCCAGCCTTGGCAACTTAGTGCGACTCTGTCTCAAAATAAAAAATAAAAAGGGCTGGGGATATAGCTCAGTGGTAGGGTGGCCCTGGTTTCAAAACCCAATTCTGCCAGAAAAATAAAAACAAAAATTAGAGGGCAGCTACCCTAATAACTTATAACTCGTTTCTGAGATCTACAGCTACTCTGTTATTTTATTGAGGCTATTTCCTAAGGATCTAGAAAAAAATATTCCCCTGCTTTCAAAAAAATTTGCTCTTAAAAAAAAATCATTATACTTCTATAGAAGCATGAAAAATAAATTATGTAAGTTCAAATTTGTTTAGAATCTCTTATGGAGGGTTGTCAGCTGTGGAGTGTTGTGATCATTCCTTGGTCCTTAGGTACAATATCCTAGATTAGGACAATAAGGCAAGGCAGAGATATCCTTCAGATCAAGGTTACTGCTAAGTAAAAAGGCAAAAGAAAGTGAGATACACATTTGAAAGATGGGCAGGCAGATCAGTTAAAGACACGGAAATGCACTAAAACAACAGGCCTTTTGTTTGGGTGGGGGATGGGAGCTTGCAGTGGTATAAAACCTTGGAGTGGCAGGTAGCAATGCCCTTTGGGGCCTGATGCCTTGTGTGGTTGCTGCCTCTTTGAAGGTCATATACCTGTACTTTTTAAAAACTGAGGACCTACGTTTGTGTATTTGTGTCATTAAGTGCTTTCTGGCCTAGCGATTGCAAGCAGAATATCATATAGGAGTCAGCTGACCCTCAGGGCAGTTTGACCCTCATCCTCCTTCAGGAATGTGGAGTAAAAATGGTATCTTGGGTCAATGACCAGTCAGTGGCCCTTTTACAGTTGTTCCCCTGTCCTGTCTCCCCCTTCTCCCATTCTTCCAGCTCATCTACCTATGCTAACTTATTTCCTTAACAAATCTTAACTGTTAAGAACTTTGTGGTGGCTGGGGCTGTAGCTCAGTGATACTCAGTGTAGTTGCCTGGCATGGGTGAGGCACTTCGGGGGTTCATTCCTCAGCACCACATGAAAACAAATGAATAAAGTAAAGGTTCAATTAAAATGAAAAAAGAAAAAAAAACATTGTCTTTGCATAAGGCAGTATAGTGCAGTCTAGGTAAAGCTCATGGACTAAGGTGCCAAACTCTTAGTTTAAATCTTAAGTCAAACATTCATCAGCTGTGTGACATGAAGTTTCTTAAACATAGTTCTTTGGACTCCTTATTTGCAGAACAAGGTTACTGATAGTATAAACCTCACAGGTCGAGAGAATGCAAATGAGCAGATATGTGTAAAGGACTTGGAAAAGGGTTGGGCTGGGTTCATAGAAGGATGCCAAAAAAGTATTAACTAATTATTCTAAGCTGTCCAGCCCAACTAGGCTAGAGTGCCTGGATAACCCCCAATTTTGGAGTAGACTTTCCTGTTGAGAAAAACAAGTCAAAAGAAATTGCCATGGCCCAAGGTGCTTTGCTTGGCATGACAATGTACTTTTCTTTACATAGTTTTGGGTCCCAGCAGCACATATTGTTCCACACAGTCATTTTGTGACTTTCCTGCTATAGGAAACTATATACTTTA